TTTTTTTTTTTTTTTTTTTCTGTTTTGGTCTTGCTACTTCAAAATAGAGAACGAGAAGGTATTAAGGCTGCAAACCTGAGCTAACAATGTGATGCCAGGCGTGTGAAAGGCACAGGAGATGAGCAGGTGTTCCCTGTCTACATTTTTTTTTAAGAGGGAGAAAAAGAAAAATTGCTTTCTATAGAATTAAAAATAGAGCTCATTAACTTTAATAAACATGGATGTTATGAATGAGGAGGTAGCTGTAGCTGACTGATGGTTTGCATTTTTGGATGTTCATTTGAATGAGCTGCAGAAAAACCCAACCAAGCCGCCAAAAACCCATGGGCTGGAAATGTTGATAAATGAGGTCGTAGTGAGAAGTCTGATAGATCTGCCTCCCCCACCCAAAGGCTGAAAAGTTTTGGGGGAGTCAGAGTCACCTCCTCGAGATGCCTTTCATGCAAGATGGACTTAGCTGGGTTCCCAGGCACGTTGCACTGGGAAAATCTGTCTGGCTGCATCCAACCCTGAGCTGGGAGGTGCCAGCCCTGGGCACAGCTTGGAGCCCCTGTGCTCCTTGGGCTGTCAGCCTGGGCCAGCCTTGCCGTGTTTTATCTGTGACCTGTGCCTTGGTGGCAGCTTCCTGGCAGCCTTTATTTTGCAGAGGGAGGTTTGGCCGTGCTGTAAACAGGATGTGTCCATGATTGTCTCTTCTTTTGAATGCACCGTGTGTCTGAGCACTGAGCTCAACCCTGATATTTCTGTTTTTTCTTCTCCCCCACCACAGCGAGCAGTGCTGAGTAAAGGAGAGCCAAGGAAAGACGGCTGCATGAAGACTGAGCTGCTGAAAGACATCACCAACAACAAAGAGGAAGGTGAGCACCTGCCCTGGTTGAGGGTCAGGGCTGGCTCGTGTGGTGGGCACGTGATGGGGACGAAACTGGGGGTTTGGAGATGTGCTCAGTGCCCCCAGCAACTCAGGTGTGCTCCCATGAGCACAGGCTCCCTTCTCTGTGTTTATCCTCAGCAGGGTTCTTCCACTGGACATGCAGATTTGCTTTTCTGTGCATCCCTCACCGCTCCCGTGAAGAAGGAGATTTAATTTTCACTTCTGCATTGGTGTGAAGGCACAGGACTTACTTTGAACTTCCTGTGTGTGACTGGTTTTAGCTGAACTCTGATCCCTCCCCACAATGACCTTTTCCTCCCTCCAGGAATATTGACTTTCTGTTTTGCTGTGGGTTTCTCTGTTGCAGCAGAGCAGCTCCAATGGCTGCAGGGTGGCTGGAGGGGTCAGACACCCCACACCTCGTGGCTCTTGTGTGGGTTCTGCAGCTTTTACTGTGCAGGATGCAGCACAGGTTCAATTGACAAAGTCTTCTCCTGCAGGGTTGTCTGCGAGTTACATGCACACAAATCTAAGGGCTTAATAAATGTGTCAGTGGGATTAGGGAAAAAAAGCCCACCATCCTTTATCTTTCCTCTGACTCCCTCCTTTCTTTCCATGGTTTTATTATTCCTGGACTAGTTACTTCTCATAGCTCTTCAGGGATTTGGTGTATTTTTGTTCTCCTTTCCATAATAGAACATTATGAAAGCACTGAACTGGCCCCATCGAAATCCCTACTCTTATCTAGAAGCAAAATTTTGGGCTTAATTCAGTTGTGTGTGAGTACAGCATTGCTTTTTCTTTCTTTTCTGTCCAGCATGATGTATTGTCAAGCTGCTCTAGTTAGAAAGTAAAGCTCAGAACAGGCAGAAATACTGAATTCTGTGTCAGGTGCTTGGATATTAACTGGGAGCACAGGAATCTTGCTGCCAGCAGTGATGGCATAGGGACCTCTGGTCTGGGCAGAGCAGAGACAAAGCCTGAGGTGTCAGGAGGTGCTAATGGGAGATTGTGTTGCTCTGAGGGAAACTCACTTTGATCCCTTGCCTTTCTTAGCTCAGGATTATAAAGCTTGTTTGTGTAGCTCTTGGTTGATGTTAAGGTGTCAAGAATCTGTGGACGTAAAAAATCCAAAAGGAGGGTGGGAAGAGGCATTTCTGTGCCTCTTGACTGATTTTGACTTGCAGCAAATGCTGTGTCAGAAGGAAGCTGAGAGCCCTCCCTGTGCAGGGACAGTCTCGAGGCTTCACAAGGTGCAGAAATTCCAACCACTCCAGTCTGTTGTCCAGCTCTATTCCCAGGGAGTGGAGGCTCTTAAATGTGAGTCTCTGTTCTTCTGGAATGTTCAGAACATGTCCTTGCCTCCCCAGGCACACCATGAGTGTCCCAGACCGTGGTGTGTGTGCGTGCTGCTGTGCTGGGACATTGTCCCTGCTGCCCCTGGCTCCCCAGCTGGGATCCTGGGAGGATCATCACCACCAGGACTTTGTTTCAGAGCCCAAAAGCCTGTTAATAACAGTGTTTAGTGCTGGCACAGAATTCACATTTTTAACTGTTGCATGAACATGAAGTCATTCCAGCAGGCTTGCAGGATGGCATGGAATAGTTTCTTTGAGCCCAGTTTCCTGCCTCGGGGATGGAGCTGGGATGTGTGGACTGGAAAAGCACCCTGAAGTCTCAGCTTCCTCTCCAAGTTCTCTTGAGCAGTCATTTCCCTTTAGTGAGGAGGGTGGTGCTGTTAAATATCTTTGTCAGTGGCACAGACTGGGTTGGTTTGGGCTGCTGAGGATGTGTTTGGTGGGAGCCATGGCCTGCAGTGTGTGACTGAATCTGCTCTGGATCGTGTTCCCTTTGGGAAAACCCCTCTGGCAGGTAACCTGTCAATATTAAACCTGGCATCTAAACTTCCAGGGGCTTGTAGCTGCAGATCCAAAGGCTGACTAAAAGTGTTGTTTGGGCTAAAAGCTTACTGTGAATCGCTCTGTTTTCTCCTCTTTCCACTCCCCCCTGACTCAGAAAGGTGCTGGTGCTGAGGGCAGGTCAGGTCCTCATTGGAATTGTGTTGGCACATCCCATAGCTCCACTGCTGCCTCTGAATGGCCTTGCACCAGTTCCACCTCTGTAGAAACTTGAGCTTTGCCTGAGTCCAAGACAAGACAGGAAATTCAGGTAGCTTGAAGCCTTGGCTGATATTTAGGGGTCTGACCCCAAGCAAGGCCTGTCAGCTGCAGTGGTGCCTGTGAGCACTGCCTGCCTCCTGCACTGACAAACATCATCCTGGTGGGGATCTCCACAAAGATCTCTTGCAGGGAAGGTTCCTGCTCTGGTGGGGCAGTAGCTGAGCAGCCCCTGCTCATAATCACAGAATCACAGACTGGGCTGGGCTGGAAGAGACCTCAAAGCTCATCTCATTCCACCCCTTGCCATGGGCAGGGACACCTTCCATAGATCAGGATGCTCCAAGCCCTGTCCAGCCTGGCCCTCACTGATGTGCTACTTTGAGGCAGTGGACCTTTCCTGGTGGTCCTTAGCCTTCATTTGGGACATCTCAGCAGCTGGGGATGGATTATTGGTGGGTGGGTGGCCGTTGGGTGGGCAGTTGTGGTGTTCTGTTCTCTGTTCCTCAACAATGACGTGTTGCAGAAATGCCCTGTGGTTCCCACCTGGGCTGTCCTCTTCTGCCTTCATTGAGTTCTAAATGTAACATGTATTTGTAGGAACAAGCTCTTTGCATGTTCTAGCACTTTCATTTCCAGTTCTTGGGGTGAGTCCCAGCCTGTGGAGGTTGTTCACTAGGCTCAGTGTCTCTGTCTGTGTAAAATTGCTCAATACAGATAGAAAAAAAGCTGTGGATGAGGCTGTTTTGTGGTCCATGGGAAATGCTCCAGTTCAGTTTTACATGTGGGTGTGAGCTTAGGTCCATACTTCCTTTGACAGGGTGGGGAAGGGGGCAGGGAGAAGGGAGATCAGTGGAAAAAAGCTTTTATTAGGCCATGTTGTCTCTAGTCTGACTCAGAGAGAAACTATTAAAAAGTGGTTTCTTTGCAAGGATTGCAAGTGAATTCAGCTCTCCTCGTGTGCTTTACTCCCAGCTCTGTGTCTCCTTTGACCTTTCAAGGCAAACCACTTCTTTTCTGATTCGCCAAGCCCAGGGGTGGAAAGTTCTGGTAAAGCAGCAGCACAAAGGAGCAGGAATGGGTGTTGGGAATGAAATTCTCCATTTGCTCCAGTGTTTCTGAGCCTTCATCCAAGGCAACTCTTTTACAAGAGCCACAGTGCTGGAGCCTAGTGCTGGGTGAGACCTGCACAGTCACTGCTCTCAGATAAACTTCAGCCTGCTTTGAGAGGCTGTCAGGGGTTTAAACTCCTGGAGGGGACTTTTTTTTTTCCCTTTTTCTCCCTCTTATTGCAGGTAGGAAGCTGCTGTGAGCACAGGAAGTGCTGCTTTCCACTGAGCAGCTGCAGCCTTTGCAGTCCCAGGTGCAGGGATGGCAGCTTGAAAGGAGGGAAGGACTAAACTGCTCTCCTCAGGTACTTGGCACTGGGATCCCCTGCTGAGGCTGCCAGCAGGAGGCCAGGCAGAGCAAAGTGATGCTTCAGGATTTTACATGTTCACCCAGCTGTGCACCAAGCACTCCCTGGGCTTGGGACCCTTGCTGCAGGAAGGATGTGGCAGCCCTGGAGCGTTCCTCAGACACAGCTGGGCTGTGACACCACGGCCCCATCCCGTGGCAAAGGGATGAAGGAGTTTCATGAGGCTCTTAACCTGCTCTGAGTCATTAAACTGTTGAGCCAGATTAACTGTTAATGTTCAAACTGTGCCCTGGGGGCCAGGGGAAGGCTGGAGGGCATTTTGGTGTGGCCAGCAGGTCAGGGGAGATGATCCTTCCCTTCTACTCGACCACATCTGGGGTTTTGGGTTCAGTTTTGGTCTTCATGGTTCAAGAAAGACAAGGAGCTGCTGGAGAGGCTGCAAAGGTGATGAGGGGTCTGGGGCATCTCTCATTTGATAAGAGACTGCAGGAGCTGGGTGTGGTTAGTCAGGAGCAGAGAAGTCTCAGAGGGGATCTGATCAGTGCACATAAATATCTCCAAGGGTTGTCTGTGGATGGTGCCAGACTCTGTTTGGTGGTGCCAGTGACGGGACAGGGAGCAATGGCCATAAACTAAAATACAAGAAGTTCCACCTCAACATGAGGTAGGGAAAAAGAGCTCTGGATCAGGTGCCTGGGGAGGGTGTGGAGTCTCCTTCTCTGGAGACATCCCAAACCCACCTGGACATGTTCCTGTGTCACCTGTTCCAGGTGACCCTGCCTTGGCAGGGACTTGGACTGGGTGGTCTCCAGTGGTCCCTTCCAGTCCCTCTGATTCTGAGTCCCCAGCAGCATCCCCAGCCACTGGCCAGGTGCTGAATCCCAGTAACCCAACCTGTGTAACCTCAGTGCTGAGCACCCACAGCAGAAGTTGATGCTTGCTGTTTTTTACTTTTCCTGTTTTACATCTTGGTGTGCAGGGTCACAGTGCTCCAGGGAGGAGTGACATCTGAGTCTGGAAGTACCTGGACACTATACATCTTCACAAGGGTTTGGGGGCAAGAAGAGACCATCAATAACTCACCCCAGAGAGGAACTTTTGCCTGTAAACACATTTGTCTGCATTTCTTGCCTTTGAAATGCTCTGCTTTTTGTCTTCAGTCCCAGAATCCCAGACTGGTTTGGGTTGGAAGGGACCTTAAAGATGATCCAGTTCCAACCCAGTGCCATGGGCAGTGATGCCATCACTGGGTCAGGTTGCTCAGGTTGTTTCCAGCCTTCATTGATGGAGGGGATGCTTTCCTTCCCAGTGGATTCAGGGTCTCCAGCTGCCCCCTCTCCCTCATCTCTGTGATTTCAGCCCCAACATCTTCATGCTGGGCTCTCTCTGCTTGGCAGTTTTCCTTTTTGTTGGAGTTAGAGGAGGAAGAGGGGAGGGAACTGCTGTAACACA